AATCAAAGCTGTTCGGCCCTCAGATGCAAATGGCGCATCAGAAGGATAAAAGAAAGAAAGTTTAGTGCTGGAGATTTGGAATAGGCCATTTATAAAGAGGTCAATTGGTCAGGGAAAATAAGACAGCTTACCTTTACAAGTTGGAACTTGTGAACTCCAAACGCCCTTGTTGCATGTTAATGCTGAAGCCCCAAATAGATCAAAGCCTGTAAAACAAGTGAAGTTTGCTTCTGCACCATGGCTGTTGTCATTGCCATGTAGTGTACCGTTAGCTGGACTTTGCAGACGAACACACGACGGCAACTCTGTAGGAGAAAAATATCATATTCAATTGATCTCTTAACATATTCGTGGTAAAAGATAAAAAAGGGCTAAAACGCTGCGTTGCAAGCAGTTTTAATCAGTTTTATGTCAAGTAGTTGTCAAAGTTTTGATACAAATTTTTAAAATTGCATCAAAACTTTGACAGCTAATTAACTTGCATTAAAATGCAAGTTTATTAGTTTTACGATCGTCTCGATAACTTAATATAAGTTTTACGATCGTCTCGATAACTTGATATAAGTTTTACGATCGTTTCAATGACTTACTTTGACAATAGGGTAACTTTCCATTCCATTGTCCATCTATGCACTCCAACCTTGTCTTACCGATCAGCTGGAAACTGTTATTAGCACAGCGAAATTCTATGGCAGCCTTGCCAACTTGTGGGGTCACATGAGATACTTTACCATTTAAAATGTTACCCACCTCCGGACAAAACCCTAGATGAAGCAATAACATTTTTAGGTGGAGAAAATTAAAAAATGATTAAACTGTCTTCAGTTTTTGTCATAAATTGACAATGAAAATCTATCTTGTGTTGAGCATTATATCTTTTCACTATTACACAGGTGGTGACAGGTGACAAAAAATGGGAACCGAACCTCTTTCATCTTCATTTTAGAACTCTCTTTGTCTCTGTAGTGATTATCTATGATATTTCTAGAGGCTTGGAATTGAAAAGTTTGACATGCAACATTTTTGCACGAATCAGCGAATGTTGTTTTGAAATGCGGAACCACTAAACAATGCCGATCTAAAGTTATAGAACATTTTTTTTTTATTCTAAAGATAATTTACATCATACCAAGACATCGGAATTGTGTCTGTGTCCATTTGTTCCCATTGCATGTTATAATTGGCATTCCATCCAGATAAAAACCCTGTTTACAGCCAAAGAGGATTACTTGGCCGTTTTGGTACTTTTCTCGCCGAGTGGGATGAGTGATGACTGAGCCATGAGGAGAGGTTGGTTGATCACACGTGGAGCCTTAAAAAAAAATAGACAGCTGACGTCAAGCTTCCGAGACGAACGGCGAGTCAATGTCACAATATCAATCCCTTTACAACAAATGACCTGAGTTAAGAAACAAATAGTTTCCGCCTAATAATGGTAAATTATTTGCAAAGAAAGGCTAATTTAATGACCCTGAAATGTATAACGTTAAGTCCTAACATTTCTTGAACAATCTTGGGGTTTCCTGATTTGTTGGGCATGCGCTTTTCCATATGTGTTATAATTCTCTTTGAATTATCTTGTAAATATTGGATGCGTAGATATCAAATGGCTCAACCGGAACAGACAGAGCTGCCCTTGAGAATCTGGCTAATGATGCTTACCCTTATGCCTATCTCATGGTCACTTATCCTTAACTTGTCATGAATATGGATAGTCTTGTTTCACTTTTCGGAAAGTAGGCAGACTCTTAGAAATGGAGGCAGCGATGCAGAAAAAAATAAGCATCTCTGTCTTTTGTATGACAAAATGCTGACGGATAACACATGACACCCTCTTCCGCTTAATTTGAGAGTAACGCGTTGCTTATTTTTCGGTCTCGGCGCCAAAGAAAGCTTATTGCCCTTTGCATAAGGCAAATATCTCTTTTCCTCAGTGAGATGTGAGACACGGATCCGAAACCATGTGTGCGACATCAAAATTTATAACTGATAGCTTTGTCAACTTTTAAAGATATCTGAGTATTGTAGTTTTCGTCAGTCACCAGATGTGAAGGTCACAAGCAAGGGAATGTTCAAGAGTCTCAAGACAGAAACTAACAGTGTACAGTTCATTTCGTTAAGGAAAACCCTGAAAACCCCCTTTCCATTGGCCTACTCAAGAATAAGAATATGTAAAGGCACGTCAAACTTAAAACTAACTGCACTGCTATCAAACATCAGTTCACATTTGCCGAATGAGCGGCGTCTCCAGAAGAGTTCAGTGGCACGCGCCCTTACTATTAAAAATTTTTACAACTTTTAGATGAAAACAAAGCTGAAAGCTGACGCATGACATCCCCTTTCGTTTTGAGAGAACAGGGTTGTTTATCTTCCAACTGGAGTGTTAAGGGAAGCTAATTGAGCATTACATGTATGAGAGGTTACTCACCATATGTGACGATCACAAACGAGAATATAAAGGATGCTGAAACCAACCCCGCACGTTTCATGAGGAAGCCCGTAGAATCTAACTTTCCTACTGAAATAGGTTGCTCAAATTGAGATAAGGATGTGGAAAGACAACCTTTTATATGCAATGTACTTCAACTTCCTTTAATACTGTAATCTAATGTAAGAATATTAATGTCAAAGGGGCAGCATCTCCAGCAGCGTTAAGTGTCACGAATCCCTACCATTTGGCTTGTATTGATTTTGACTGATTTACATTGAAAAGCAAATTAGTCTCCTACAGTGTGTAATTGGAAAACAAACAAGCTATTCAGTGAAATAGCCACTTCCTGCATCTTCACCCGTAAATGATAAGATACAAAGACTTCTCATGACGGACAGCTAACAAGATACCAACAAGTTAATTTAGCTTCCCAGCTTGCTTTGTAATTTGTCGTCCGATTTCATTGTTCAATTCAAACGTGATGTAGTATCTTTTGAACTTTAAATAATTGAATTATTTAATGAGTTTACAGAACAATTAAATTTCCTGATTGTGGCATACCCTAGGAAAACGTGTTCTTAAAATCATGCGAGGGCAATTGAGTGAGATTGGGTTAATCTTTTTCATTTCCTTATTTTGGTTGTCGCGTCATTGGAGAGCCTAAACATTGCGGAGGCTGATTTTTTTTGACAGTTTCTACATACTCGTATGCCAATTCCATGGTTGAAGCCCTGTCACTTCTTTTCGTGATCAGATGTCGATATTCTTGTCTTTCTTTGCAGAAATCAGGCATATAATTCGAAGTGAGAGCGACGATGCGAAAAAAGACATTTTTTGTATCGTAATTTTAAGTTTTTCGTGAAATGCTTACGGATGAAACAGGCAAGATCTTTCGCTTTGAGAGTACAGTTTTGGTTATTTTCCGGACTCTGCGCAAAAGTTTGCTCCTATCAAGCGGAAAAGATTTCTTTTCCTCTCTGAGTTTTTAAGAAAAGGATTCGAAGCTGTGGGTGTCTTTTTTTTCTTTTTTTTCTTATGTATCACTGATAACTTTGTTAACGTTTAATGTGATATAGGTATGTTACTGTTCGTACTCACCTGCATGTGTGACGACCACGAGCAAGATAACGTTCAACACAGACACTAACAATGCACGGTTCATTTCATTTAGGGATACCCTGAAACTACCTATTCCATTGGTTTGAACAAAAATAGGGATATGTAAAGGCACATTACCTTTTTCTGTGTGACAAACTCATACTAATTACTCTGTAATTAACAGTACTTTCAATTTGCCGAAGGAGCAGTGTCTCCGGCAGAGTTCAGTGACACGTGCCTCTGCATGTTAAGGTAATAATTTAAGAAAAAAGAAAAGAAAGCTGAAAAATAAAGCTTGGCATATTGTTTCGTATGGGGTCTGAGTACTGCGCTGTATACCTTCCAGCTTCAGCGCTCAAGGAAGTTTATTGAGTATAACATGTACGAGAGGATACTTCTCTTTAGATATGACCTTTTAAAATCGATAACTTATTACTTGCACCTTTGTCAAAACTTATTATTTTTCGTGCTCATCGTACGTGATGATCACAAACGAGAATAGAAAGGACGCTGAAACCAACCCTCACAGATAGGGATGATGAAAGACATGTTTTTCTTTCTGTTTAAATGCAATGCCGTTTAACTTCCTTTTGTGTTTTAATTAAATAAAAGAATATGAATGTCAAAGGGGTCAGCATCTCCATCAGCGTTATTTGTCACGAATCTCTACCGTTTGACTTGCCTTGCTTTGACTGATTTACATCGTAAGGCAACTTAGTCTTGTATAGTAGGTAGTCTCGTTTGGTATGTAATTCAGTGCAAACGCCATGTCGTTGACCTCTAGTGATCGAAAAAAGGAAGCGAAACAGACAAGCGGTCCAGTCAGGCAACCGTTCCTTGCATTTTCCGCACGCAAATAACATGAAACAACTGGTCGATATAGCGTCCCGGCTCGCACTGTAATTAGCTTCTGATTTCTTTGTTAAATGTGTGAGTTACGCCGGTAATCACAATTTCAAAACGAAAATCTCAATGCCGGTCATCTTTTGTCTTACCCTCTTTGCTCTTTTTTATCTACGGTGACAAGTGTCGCTAAACTTATTAAACTTGAAGCATAGATAATCAGTTTTACCACCCAATACATAATGTCTTATTTTGCATATTGTCTTCGTCTCTTGCAAGCTGAAGTAGGACCGGAAGAGACCGAAAATAAAGTTTTGAAGGCAACTCATGGTTATCACCGTACGCTGTGTTTACGATAACGAAATGTAATTTGAAGGTATTACTTCTGCGTTTCAGACGCAAAGGAATTAAATAAGAATCACGCACGAACGTGTCAAAGGATTTTCCCTTTCAGCACACGCGTTCGGTCAAGCTGCAAACGGTAACGTTATCTTTGTTTTCTTACTTTTGAGCGTTGTTATTTCTCAGGGTATAAAGGGTAGAAAAGGAGAAGTTATCTGTCAACAAAGGGTTATTTTTTAGTGCGGAATTTTTTTCTACTTGAGCCAAATCACTGAGGCTGAAACTGTGCTGTTATTTTCTTTCCATCAAAAGATCTGTGTCTTTGGAAGTCATTCAGCCCCGGCCGTTTAACTTTTTTCAGAACTCAGAATTGGGCAATATGGTGTTTCAATCAGACCTACCAAGCCGCAGCACCGTCTTACTTAGTTTTACTCTCAACTGTGTATATTTTCAACCTCTCCTTATTTCCTTTATCATAAATAGTTTACCATCGAAACCAGCAGGAAACCATACCAGATGTAACAATTTTTATCAAAAACGACAGAGAAATGATGGCGCAACTAAGCGCAGAAAATGTCTTTTCTGCTACAGGAAGAAAATAACTTCCCTGACTTCTCATGCGACGTCCTAAAATCCGACCTCAACATCCGCTACAACTGGAGCAGCTCAAATTGATAGCACGTTCGCACGTTCGGAGTGCACGCTGTTTTCCTTAGCAACTAATTATTTATGTTTTTAAAGGCAGCCCTCAGACCGAAAAATTAACTAGACAATCTTAACACGTTAGTGCACTGAGCTCTGAAACTTATCTAGAATTAAATCTACAAACATAGCAAGATGCAGTTTTTGCGATATCAGGTAAGATTTCAATTTACTCTACACTGTAACGCAAGTGAAGCTGGAAGGCCTAAATGGGAAAATTTACGCGCTAGATTGACCAATACAGTGATTGATCTTGACAGGGTGTTTCGATCATCGTCTTAAGAGGATTTTTTTTTCTTAAGAGGCCAGATACGTGAAAAGTATTTGAACAGGCCTCGCAACTATCATCACATTTTAAAATTCAATGATAAGGAGCGACTAGTGCCACTGCACAGAATAACAAAGGGCGAAACGTTCTTATTTTAAAGATTCAAATCCGGCTACTCCTTTTCAAGATGGGGAAGTTATGGGTCAATAAATAGCAAGCAGTATCAAACGATGGAAATCGATGATAAATGATACTCTATGCCAACTGTTCGATTGAAACCGGACAAATATCAAAGTTTTATTCTGTAGTTATAAGATCAGAAATGTTGCTTTCAGTTATCACGAAGAGTTTCTAACATTAGATAACCTTCAACCTTCTCTATACTAAAAGAGAAGATTCTTCTTTCGTCAGGGGGAGGAAAGCACGACAAAAATCACTCCTTGAAATACTCCTATTTCTGCGTGTTTACAGGCGTAGGCTTAAATTTATTACATTCTGTACCCAGTAAGGACACTCAAAGGATGTTGGATGTTATTAGTCATATAAAACTTCTTTAACATTGGCCAAGGACACTGCTCACAATGTAACAATTACAACCAAGTTCTGTCAAAAAAGATAAGATCTCCCTTCGTACGTGTTGCTATACACTTCCTTTAAGTTAGGCGGGAAAAGACACTTTAGGGGTAGGGCTAGACCTTTTTCAATTCTCATCACTCTTGCATTGAATTATGCATTGATCTTGTAAGGAGAAGTCATCATTCAATAAAGAGTCGAAACCAAAACCCGCTAAAAGGATGACTTTCATATTCCATACAATTCACAATTTAGCTAGTGTGATAAAAGGAGCTTCGGCTCAGAAGACAATTCGAATCAATCAGAAATATGTTCGACAAATGTTGTTGACTAAACAACTAAGTTTGGTATTATCAACTGAGTTGGCTGCCGTAGAGAGTTTCTAAAGCTGATGTTTCGAGCGCCCGCACTTCTTCAAATTTGCCACAAAGTTGACCTAAAATTCGCTTTGATCTTTACTGGATATCTACTAATCTGCTAAGAGAAGACAAAATTAACTAAATAGACCGTGCACTTGAGTTTCAAGCATATGATTAGCTAAGAAATATTCACTGGGAAAAGAACTTAACCTCTCTCTTTTTTCCTAGATTCTCTGGTATGTGTTTTTGACTGCACTGATGTTGGCCACTCAAAATGTAATGAGCCGAAAAAATAGTAAGTTTTTGCGGAAATTCACGCCTTTACTCCTTGAATTCAGAATTAACTGACCATCAGTCAATGAAGTCGTTTTCTATTGTGCCATTCTATTTTGGGGATCTCCATACAATTTTACTGAGAGGGAGAAAGTTGAATAAAAGGAAGTTCCACCATCAAACTCATGGCGATCAGAAGGAGCAATAGAAGCTTACGAACAAAATTGCAATCAGTTCATTTAAAAAGGAAATGCTAGGCAGGCGCAGGGCGCGCGTCTTTTTTACATCAGCTGACATCAAACGAGAGGCTTTAATTTGGTATTTCGCGAGAATTCACCCCTACAAACAGAAGCGAGTTCTAATTTCGGTTCATTCAAACTAATTGAAGAAGATGAATTGAATAAACTTGAAATCTCAACGAAGAGATTTAATATTAAGGGTAGTGACACCTATTATTAATTTTAAAAAAATCAGTATGAAAAAATTTTCACCGGAGCGTTAAATTCCAGTCCAGTATATCTAACTGCATTCCTAACAGATATTACCTTACTGGGCACACGTTACGTGTTTCTTCTTATCTTAGAATGTGACAAGAAATGCCTCGATATTCTCTGTGAAACTCAAAGTAATCCGCCACCCAATACTAGAGTGGAAATACACACCGGTTATTGTAAGGCAAGATATGTTTGCCGAAAAGGAACTGACATAAGAACTTGCAGGAAAGGGCAGTGGATTGGAAGCAAAGCGCTCAAGTGTCCAGGTAAAGTTTCGCGGGTTGACTCGCTTTGGTTTGGATAAATTACAACCATTTGATCGAACAGAATGAATTATTACAAATCAAAATCCGTAAGCCACGTCGCCATTCGATGTTCATAAGTTGAATCATAAACTGGATTTTGTTTTACCGATACAAAAATATCCATTCCTAAGTTAGGTCGAACGCATTCCACCATAATCCATGATTATTACTAGTTTATGATTGAAAACGTAAGAAACTGTTCTCGTATTTTATTTCATAAATATTTTCTAACATTCTTTTTGTCAGCATATTGCGGTAAACCCGCGAACATTCCACACGCCACATTCTCTGGTTCCCGTTTCAGCTTCAACAGTATATTAAAGTACAGATGTGATCAAGGCTATGTGCTCAAAGGACCAAAAAGAAGGAAATGCAGAAAAAACGGACAGTGGTCTCAGGCTCCTACATGTTCACCAAGTAAATTGAATATGATAATCTTTACACACCTGTAAAGACAACAACAATTGTCAATTAAGTGTCGAAAGTAATCAGGGATTATTTTGATTTGCGTTATATTTTCAGGTATAATGATAAGTCAGTCTTTCAGTCGGTCAGTATGTGAATCACTCAGCCTTTCTTCTTACATCTCTCTTAAGTTAGTCAGTCAGTCTTAGGAGTCTTTTTTTTTAATATTTCTTTCAGATACTCATTTTTCCGTTCGTTCAGCCACTAGAATAGTGGAGTGTTAATTGGCAGGTGGATCGACTGACCTATTCCACAAAGTATCACCTTAAAATACAGAAAAGACACGAAAATAACAGAACAAATGAAAGCGCATTACAATAAACCGGTCTTCTTTGTATGTTTTTTGTTCACAGATTATACAACCTGTGGTGTAAGTCCTGTTGATCTGAGGGCGAAAATGGTCGGTGGCGAGAATTCGAGAAGAGGCTGGTGGCCCTGGCAGATTGGACTTCGTAAGATTAACTCAAAAGGTATTTTGAAAGGAAAATTTGCGTTGTCTGGCTCATTCATTGAATGCTGTATATACAAGGAAAGCATTAGTAACATTTCCTTTCCATCATGCGGCAAATCGTTCTAAGTAGCCTTTGACTGTCTGTGGCCTTTCCGTACATCTAGGTAGTTCGGAAAGCCGCAGAACTAAAGAACAAAAATTTATCTTTCAAATCTCACTCTTAATCTTATATGATATCAACTAACGATTCTCATTCTATTGATTTATTTGTTTGTTCATTTGTCTGCCTGTTTTTGTACGTTATTATGTTCTCAGAAATACAGAGTGGCTCCATTTTTCTGTTCGTTCAGACGAGGGGCCAAGCTCGAAAAGTTACTTAAAATGCACTTGTCAAAAGCTGGGTTTTTTTCGGGCATAATTTTCTACGAGAAGTTATTTTTTAAAAAGAAAGTATCGGTTGAGATTAATAATTATTGTTTTTTATCTTTTTCCTTTTTCCTTTTAAGCGGAACTTGTGCTTATCTGTGGTGGCGCACTGATTTCTCGTCGCTGGGTTCTGACAGCTGCACAATGTTTTTACCACAGAGGTCTTCATGGGGCTCGTGTTCTCGACGATTTGTCCAATAAGTAAGCACTGAGTCCAATAATTCTCTTTACGTTTGAAGTTTAACCGAGTAAGTTTAAGCGAGATGCCTGAATACTTTAAAAAAGGGGAAAAAAAAAGAAAGCTGCCATACGACTTGGAAAAACATTGGAAGTTTACGACTGAATCGTGTTCAAAAACACTTCCAATGGTTATCCCGTGTAATGGACTACCAAGGTCAGAGCAAGATGCTAAAAATTGCAAAATACAAAAAATGAAAGTAATAGCAATTGTCTAAAAACATACCCTATGAGCGAGAACGGAAGCAATTTGCGAGCTAAATAGTAGCACTAATCATCCAAGACAATACCTAGCAATTACACCGAAAACTTATTTGACTTGAAAATAAAATGCATGCCGTTGAGGCGATCTTCAAATGATACCTGGTGCAGAACATCCATACAGCTCTAATCTTAGGCAGCAGGGTTTAGGATCGGTGCCATTCAACATCACTGGATCCTTAGGATAGATTCTAATCGACTGTGTTCTGATTGGAGGATCTAAGGTGTTCGACTTCAAACCATTGACATTATTGTTGCCTTCAAATTCCTAAAATTTTGACAAAAATTGAGCTCATCAACTAGATTATTTGCATAATGCCAATTAAGTTAACTTCATAATATTGAAGTCAAGCTTGATTGACGAGTACGCACTGTGTGCTAGTCCTCTTTGGCTAGAGCTTTGGATCTCTCTTGTGCTCGTGACAAATTAACTAAACATTTTCCTGGCAGTGTTTTCTTTTTTAGGTAAGAAGTAACACTGAATCATTCCTTCCGAACATTTAATCAGTTACTTCTATATTTCTCCAGGAAATTCCACAAATATCGATAAGTCAAATTAGTCATCTTAATATAGTCGATAGCCTAACTGGAACAAAAACATTAATACAGATAACAATTCTGGCACCTTGTGGTAGTGTTTCCAAGTTCCTTTTTCCAAATACTCGACTTCATATTTTGTTACCCACGCCCAATCAGAATAGCTTCCTTGAGTTGTTTGATTTGTATGTATGGCAATTTGTCCTTTGGCGCAGAGCACCAGGCATTTTTTCCGTCCAAACGTGCAAACTGAGGGGATTCATCTGCACTATTTGAAGACGATGCTGTAATACTCTCGTCTGGTATTCCTTTACTTCCCATTCCAAGGTCATCGCGGCAGCTTTCTGCAAAATAAATTTAAAAATGTGCCCTAATTCTTGGATGTTGTGGTTTCTAACTGCGGAACATCCGCCTCTTACAATTCTCCCATCATAGCTGCCATTAATCAGGTTTTTTTTATAACTCTGGGTCAAATGGTGCAGCGGCAGAATGTATCATGGGAGATGCGAAAGTGATAAATCGGGCCACAAGGTTTTCATCAAGCCTTCATTCAAAGAGGAAGAAAATCTTAACATCTCTCAAAAAAGGAAACTATTTGTTTTGACGTGTAGGTTACTCTATTTAAGAATTAAGTCTGGTTAAGATAAGAATGAATTGATGTGTGCCTCTCGATTTTCGACGGGATTGGATTATCCACAGGCAAAAATACTCACAATACATTCAGAGCTCAGCTCATTACAAGAACTTTTATAATTTGATTGTTCATGTGATAAGATGCTAATTTGGCCGTTCAATGTTACTCCTGACATAAAGGCTTTCGCAGATCTCCAAAGGTCCTTTCCCCGGGCGTACTCATACCCTTTACATAAGATAGTGTTTTCAGAGGAGGAGCAAGAAGAAGGGCAAGTGCGCCTCAGGGTTAAGACTGAGCAGCATCTGTAAATTTACAGAGCACCTACAGTTGCAAGGACCACGAACAATTCTTGCTTTGGATGGTTCGGAACAACAGTTCTTCCCAACTGGTAGAGAGTATTTTTTGAAATCTTCAAACCCTTCTAACTAAACCTTCTAATTTTCATCTGGAGACCAAAATAATGACTGTAATTATTACATCGATTTCTCAAGATTTCAATTTTCACATGACGTCATTTAAACAACAACGGCGTGACATTTTTGGCAAGACTCCCTGACTTAGGCTAAAGGAAGTCTTGTAAATTTCTCTTCAGCTTAGCTTCAGTCACACTAAGTTTCATTTGATCATTATATTATTATCCTTTCCAGTTTTGGCCCTTTATTGTAAATCCCTTTGGTGTTCTATAAATCTTTATACACTATAAGAAAATATTAATAATCAATAATCAAATAATAATCAAGATGCATTCTGGGTTATACTCTCAGCTAAAAAGATCTATGAACATCGTCGATTCATCACTTTTATACCACGAAGACATTTGGAGCATACAAGATATACCATAAGGAAAATTTTCTTTAATTTACTTTGATCAGACCTATTTAGTATCATCCCTAGACCTCACCAGAAAAAAAGTAATTCAGCAGCTTCCGGTTACGTGTATCTATTTACTTTTTATACAAAATGTTAAAATCTTGCCGAAAGGTGTAGATGTGTCCATGCAAGTATCGATGAACAACTATTGAATGGTGTAGACGCGTCAAAACATACTGCATCACTAGAACCAATGTATTAAAAGGCATCACAGATGCAGTTAAAATATCGAGGAAGGAGTCCACCGATCGGCTTGTATTTATCGTTAATTGTCAAATGGCGCCTTTGAACAGCAGACATGTCTTCTTACCTTCTTGTATTGTGTAACGGCAGAAAACAAATACCCATAACAGCAGTTGGTAGACTACTCGCATGATTCCGTCTTCAATCGAAATCTTTCAAAAATATTGCTAATGATAACTACGTTGCGCTAAGATCGGAGCTCTGTAATTCAGGATGTCGTCACTAAATTGCCGCTGAGTCTATTTAAGGCGTCACGTTTCAGCTGACGTGATGACAACAACATTCATTTGGACTGAATGAGTTTCCAGAAATCGGATCCTTGTGTTGTCGCAGAGATTTCTGGACTCGTCACACTCGCTAGAAAGAAAATTATGACGAAATGTTGTTTCAACGTCCAAGGAGACGATTTTGGTGAGAGATCATCGCTTCTTTGCCGACGCATTATCAGAAATAGGTGTGGGTAAATTGATTCAAGGGTTGCGCAAGGTTTTTTATAAACAACTGTGATGTATGTAGTGAAATCTAGCGATTAACTTTTCTCCATGTGCAAGGGATTAGTGAAATTGATAACGCGTAATGACCTCGAACTTTAGAAATAGTAGTTATGAATCGCCAAGAAATAACTCAATAAAGCTTATTTCAGTTTTATTTACTTGTGCTAAGTCCACATCTAGCTTTTTTCTTGGCTTGACTTGGTAATAGAAAAAAAGAAAACGTAATAACCGCTACCTCGAGGCAGCAGGAGATTGAAATGGTGTGCTTGAACATTAAATATTATCATGATATATTAAGTGATTAAACACCTACATTGCCTATTTGTTGTGATCAGTGAGGGGGAAGCAGCTTTGATAATCGGCTCAAAACTAAACCCTTAAACACTGATTTTTTTGGGCGCCATTTTGAAAAGTTGTGCATAACATTTTTGTCAATTGCCTCAAGAACACAGCAAAAGTAGCATAAATAGTCCCCTCCTTCTTTTGATTGTTGTATGGACCAGAAGTGCGAGTTTTTTTGAACTGTTACAAGAAACATTCTGCAGATAACAAAAATATTGACTGAGTATACATGTACCTATCGATGAAGAAACCTGGCTTTTGGTTACCTGGCCATTTCAGTTTGAGAGAAGAACACACTTTCAAACATATGGGTCATGCTAATGTGAAAAAAGGTAGGTTTCGAGTTTCCTTTTAAGGAGGCATCAAACAACGTTATCCTTTTTTTTATTTCAATTTGATAATGACTCTTTCAAAGGTGAATTGTGCTCAGATTAAAAATAGATTCGTGAAATGATTAGTTTAACACTGTAGTAAACTGTGAATGAGTCTTTAGTGGAAAAGTAGGTGTATTTATATGTCCTCGTGAGAGATTCTCGATACCTATCACAATGAACGTTATAGTTATTAGTTAAACATGTACAGGTAAACTTTATGGTATTCAGTGTCTCATGATCAGTTTTAACACACACTGAACACACTATGATACTGACCCTAATGCCCATCTCATGGTCACAGAACTATCCTTAACTTGTCATGATTATGGATAGTCTTGTTTCATTTTTCGGAAATTAGGCAGACTCTTAGAAATAGAGGCAGCGATGCAGAAAAAAATAAGCATCTCTGTCTTTTAAATGACGGATAACAAATGACAACCTTTTCCGCTTAATTTGAGAGTAACGCGCTGCTTATTTTCCGGCCTCAGCGCCGAAGGAAGCCTATAATTACTCTTTGCATAAGGTAAATATCTCTTTTCCTCAAGGAGATGTCAGACACGGATCCGAAACCGTGTGCGCATCATCAAAATCTTTAACTGATAGCTTTGTCAACTTTTAAAGTGATTTGAGTATTGTAGTTTTCGTCAGTCACCAGATGTGAAGATCACAAGCGAGGGAATGTTCAAGAGTCTCAAGACAGAAACCAACAGTGTGCAGTTCATTTCGTTGAGGAAAACCCTGAAAACCCCTTTCCATTGGCTCACACAAGAATAAGGAAATGTAGAGGCACGTTTCCTTTTCAGTGTCACAAACTTGAAACTAACCGGCTGCGCTGCTATCAAACATCAGTTCGCATTTGCCGAATGAGCGGCGTCTCCAGCAGAGTTTAGAGGCACGCACCCTTGCTATTAGAAAATTTTTACAACTTTTAGATGAAAACAATGCTGAAAGCTGATGCATGACATTCTCTTTCGTTTGGAGAGAACCGCGTTGTTTATCTTCCAACTGGAATGTTAAGGGAAGCTTATTGTGCATAAGATGTATGAGAGGTTACGTTTGTTCAGATATGTGCTTAATCGAGAATTTGTTGCTCGTACCCGCTCTGTCAAAAGTTTGTATGATGCAGTCGATATTATTTTTCGTACTCACCATATGTGACCATTACAAACGAGAGTATAAAGGACGCTGAAACCAACCCCACACGTCTATTGAG